CACTAGAGTCTGGAGTGATGCTTAGGCAAACTCCAGTCGTACCCTGAATATGAAGCTAAACGATTGCATAACAGTCTCCAAGCTTTCACATGCAAATACCCTTTCAGATTTGTTCGAACGTAAGGTAGTACTAGTAGACAGATGGATGCTTCAATCAATATGTAGATATAAGAACACAAGAGCGGTGACATTCTAGCAACATGGCAATTCTATCTGTTGGTTCAGCAATTCGCACATGATCCGAGCCAAGAATGTGTTTTTTCAGTTGCAACAACTGGCAGCAGGTTATGTACATTTCTGATGAGTGCCGGTTTATGGGATATCAACATTCAAAGATAGTGGCTGACCCCGGCAAAAGTTGCAGCCTGAATCCGGTGCCTGGGCAGGACGCGTTTGAACAAAAAACCAAAAGAAAAAGAAGACCTACGCGCTCACGTTTCAGCTATGAGACCTACGCGCTAGCCAACTGCGCCACCACCCCAATTGTTGGACTAGAGCCGAAACAAGCATCCTTGTTAAGCAGCAGGACCATGCATGCAAAGCATAGATGACAGTACTATTTCAGCCAACTTCTATGCAAGCACTATATTTAAGGCCTGTTTATTACCCAATTTACAGCCAACTTCGATGGTTCTGCAACTGTAATTAACGCTGCATGAAGAAAAATCAAGGGATGCACAGCCGGAAGAGGTTTAACGCAAGTTATATTAATTATTATAATTACGACCCCAGGCTTGTAACAGCAGATGACACACAAGAGCAGGACCATAACGACCGCAGCTAAAACAAAAAAAAAAGTAAGTTTTTTTTTTTGGAAAAGGAGGCTCACCCCCGGGCTCTGCAGCTATTTAACACTAGTATCATACATATAGCTAGCTTCAGTTTTCCTGCGGTAATCAGTAGCCCAGTGTTCATCCATGCTTGTTGCTTGATAGATTGGAGGTAACTACGCAAAGCTTTCACGCATCAGGCAGGCAAGAGAAAATGATGGAGGTGCTCAGAGCGCGATGCCGCCGCCGCCGGACTGGTCGTCGTCGTCAAAGGTGGAGGAGTAGACGGTGTAGAAGCACAAGACAAGGCCGATGGCAGCCAGCAGGACCCACCCCAGCAGGTCGTTGCTCAGCCCGGTGGCCTCACTTGACATCCGCTCGTCCACCAGCGCCAGCGCCGAGGCCAGCATCGGGGCCGCTGATGCCGCCGTGGTGCTCGCCACGGCGAGCAGCGGCACGCCCTTGGTCACCACCGGAGCCAGAGCCGAAGACACCCTCTTGCTGAACCTGCACCTCAGCCTCTCGGCCCTGGCCACTCTCAGCTGAGGTAGCCCTGCAGTGTCGTCTCAGTCAGTCTTACTCGTTAGCAACTTAACATGACCGCCATTTTTCTCTGAATAAAAATGATGAGCTTGCTTACCTAGAGCCGGCGATGGTATGGCGGCGACCAAGACCATGGTGCTACTGATCGTTGCCATTGCTGAAAGATGTGTGCTCCTTAAGAGACGCAGCAGGTGACAGTAGAAGAACCAACTTGTGGGTGTGCAGAAGGTACAGGCGCCCCAGTATATATATATTGCAGGTCCCCCTCTCTCTCTGTCCAATGGGGCTACTAATTGGCACCTTTGACATCACAGATTCTTGTTGGAAAATTCGACAGAGTTAGTTAGACTCGTTCAGACACTGAATCACACAACCAACTTGGCTCCCGGAGGAAGCAACTGTGCACGCCGGGCGTCAGGCACGAACGCAGCATATCTCCAACTTGTGTTTCTCCAAGGAAAGCCAACAGACATAAGTATCAGAAGTGTAGGGTTGCACTATACAACAAAAGAGGGTTATTTATAGATTTGGCACGGCAAGAACCTATGGCCGCAGAAAGATAGATAGACAAAATGTGCATTTTTATTTGCCTGCATAGGATTTCCATTCACATAGGTTCTTCTATGCACATAGGTTCACTTCTCTGTATACAGATCATCGGATGACGTTAGTTTCTTACAGGACTTAATCCTTACGAAAGACTAATTTGCTGAATACAGATCATCGGAATCCTTACAAAGAAATGTTTGTGAATTACAAAAAAGTTTGTCAATTCAAAAACAATTTGCTGATTCAAAAAACGTTCATGAATTCCAAAAAACAAATGTTTGTCAAAACTAAAAAAATGTTCATGAATTTCCATAATTGTTCATTGATTCAAAAAAATGTTCACGAGTTTCATAAAAAGTTCATAAAATCCAAAAAATGTTCACGATTTCATAAAATTATTTGTGAATTTATAATATGTTCACGAATATATGAAAAATCTTCACTCATTTGAAAATGTTCAAGATTTCATGAAGTTCACAAATTTTAAAAATGTTCATTATTTCAAAATTAAAATAAATAAAAGCGAAAGAAGAAAATGATAGAAAATGAAAACATAAAAGCAGAAAAACCGAAAAGAGCTAATGGGTGGGCC